ACTTCGGACTAGGTGTGTTCTACATAGTCGCCCTGGCAACAAGACCAAGTTGCGACAACGAGGTCAACCCCCTTTTAGTTCATGCTACTTTCATGTATCATTTGAAGCATATCAAACAGGCACGGGCAAAAATTCAGAGTCATACAATATCCTTGCGCTGGTCTACGTGGAGCAATACATCTAAAAAAAGACGGTTTATTTTGACATATTACTATGTGCACATTTTAAGCAGGAGAAACGAAGTAGGTCCTATATTTTATGGTATAATAATATATAAATAGTAGAACGTAAGTAATATTTGTGTAGAAATAGAGCAGTATGGACATTGTTGAGGCTGGTCGACAACGTTAAGTGGCTAAAAAATGCCATTTTATACTATGATTATAGTCAATAGTCCGACCTATAATAGAGTGACATTGTCCAGCGATGAATAAAAGAGTGAGAAGATGACGTTCATCTTAGAGGCCTCAATAAAACCAGAAAACTGGGATGACGCTACGCGAGATTCGCCACTTAAAGGAGACAGATTAGGCAAATAAACAGCATGGATACCAAACAAATCACTTAGTCAATTACCGATATGATTGCCTGTTTAATTGAACCAAATTCTTAATCTTTATTGCAGTACTGCGGGACCGATAGCTTGTCGGGATGTCCTTATTTCTCCCGAAATTGCATAGATTCGAAATCCCACCGGAGTTGTTGTTAGGACCTGCTGTCCATTCTTGACGATGTTGAATTTATTTCGTCGGCGTTATTGGCAATTAAGTGAGAGAATATTGTTGCCTTTTGACGCTAAACCCTCGGAGACCGATTGTGCAGCGTCACCTCATTTCGAGTGTTGATTGGATGCTCGAACATTGACGAAGGGTCTGGAAGTTTTTAGTATGCTCTTCGATAGGCAAAGCACTCTTTAAGAATCTAGAGGACGTCATCTGCTATTGACGAGGTCCGTGCTATTCTGGTGGGAAGAGAATCGCCGAGTACGACGAAATAAGCCGCCAAAATCATCAGTAATTTTCTTCCACATTCTGGTCAGGACAGGAGGAAAGCTAATTGCATATTCTTGAAGCTATTATGTAAACCCTTGCATTCAGAGAAAAAATTGGGAATGGATGACACAAATTGCACAGAATTTGCAGAAATCCCAAAATAGAATATGTTCTCCCAAATGGGATTAGTAACATGAGAATGACGATGACCAGAAGAGACGACAACAAGTGGCTGTGGCTCGTGTGATTCTAAGGACAAAGCCTGCAGGAGGAGTAAATCGGAAGAGAAGAGTGTGATTAAAAACATATCAGGGTTGTTGGGCTTTGGCGGTCTGGACGAGGCAGTGCGGTTGGTGGTAAAGGTTATGGTGAGGCTGGTACTAGTTCTGGTGGTAGGGCCAGTGCTCTGTTGCTGTTGGTGGTGTTGTTGATGACGCTGCTAATGATGATGGTCCTAGAGTGGAGTTAATGGTGGTGATGGCGGTGACGAACGGAGTTAGAAGAGGGAAGGGAGCTGAACATCTGGCGAAGTGTAGGTTCAGATGGGGGAGAATGTTCGAATGATAAGAACATGTCAAGGCTCCCCTACAGCCAGATTTTATTAAGACAAGTTAAGATGAGTCCTCGAGAAGACATCCACTTCATGATGCGAAAATGATGCAGCTTGGTGTAGGTAGCTCTCGAAATGAATTCCACAGGTTGAGTTCTAAGGTTGATTGAAGGTCTCTACAATCCTAACAGACGAGTGTATATTTGACGATAACACTTTTTCTTATTACGAACATGACAACATTTTTATGTTGAACTTACACTTATTTTTCGTATTTGAGTAGTCTCGAGGCTATCAGTAAATCAGTAATATGAGATGTCGTCGAGTGGTTTACGTGTCAAGCTCTCCTTCTGCACTGTCACGGTTCGACTCCCGCTGGGGGTGTTGATAAGAACGACGCGAGGTCGAAACTGCAGTGTACTTCTGTCTGGATGAGAACAACTTTTGGGAAAGCAAGTCTCTGCGGAATTCTTTGGAAACG